GGTTGCATTTTCAGTAGTATTTATTTCACAGTAATAATTAGTAAACTTTTCAGTAGGTATGTGTTTAGTGTTTTGATTTATTGATACAGTGTTCTCCTTTCTTATAGTCTAGATATACCTCTGCAATGTTTTCTGCATCGACGAAGTGAAAAATGGATGTGTTTTTTTAATATGAATGCTAATATTAGGCTGGTTCTGAAACGAATGCAATTATTAAACTGTTTATTTTATCTCTTTGTAAACAGAAATGCCGTCAGAGGTGGCACCAGACCAGTATGGTTGCATCGGAAGACCATTTTTTACTTCCTTGTACGAAGTAAAAAGGAAGTATTGTAATCGCAAAAAGTTTCAGGCAGCATATTTCAAAGAAAATATCCATTTTGACCGCTATCGAATGCAATTTAACGATGTTTTTGCGTGATATCTGTACGTAAGGACAGAATAAAATACTCTTTTCCTTCAAAAAAATTATAAAACTGCTTTGAAATTAATTCTGAAGAGAATTTTTCGTGGCGCCTGTACGAACGTATGTACGTACGAACGTATGTACGTACGTACGTGCGTACGTACGTATCTCGCATAACTCACAAACGAGTAGCTTCAGAACGTTGAAATTTTGTATGTAGGACTGCTATAACATGTAGATGTGCACCTCGTATTTTGGTTGCAATCCACTGTACCAAACGTATATAAATATATTTATAAATATATCCGCTCTATTACCCGGCTCAGTAATCTCAGTTTCTTTACTCTTATATGTTGTAAATTGTACATTTTTTGCTTTAAAAATGATTTGAGTTACGTTGTTCTTATCTTCCGGTTAAGGGTTTTATGCCTTTAGTAAATCTGTGTGCAATATTTTTAGAATTATCATTAACTTTAAAGTTGTTTAATTGCCGCTAAGCCTGTTTTTAATGGCGGCCATTGATGTTTACATTTGATACGGGAGACTAGTGGATTTGTTGCCAATCTAGAGAAACTTAGCTTCGCAACAACAAAGATAACGCATTCATTTGTTATTGCCAATTAAATCATGCGTAATTCTTTCTGAAATTTTTTCGAGGAAATAAGCGTTTGAGATTTACTTCGTAATTTTTAATATAGATATTTTGAGTTTTTATGTATTTTTGCCTTTTCGCGAAGTGAGAACTGAATTAATTAAATGAGAAATACTCAATCGTCTGTGAAACATTGTTTCTTTTTTGTTTTGTTTACTTAATTTCTTTTATACATAGTTCTTGCTTTATTATAGTATTTGAATAGAACATGTGGTAATGATTAGATAATTCTTTAAATGATATACATTTTGTGCATTCTGAGTTATAATATGAATGAAATATAATACTGCTAAATAACGCCAGAGTGTCGCTGCGCCAGAGTGTCGCTATGGTAAGCAAAGTGAATTTTAAAGAATGCATTTATTCCATTGTGGTTTATGCGCTGTCGGAGAAGTAGGTTTAATTCAATCTAATAAGTTTAAATAAAATGCAAGAAAAAATGTGTATAATTTAATATTCCGTACAAGGAAGTCATGTGGTGTACACATCAGATTTTTTTTTAATTTAGAGAGGCACTGGGCAGCACTATTTAGGAACACAGATTACACTGGGCGAGAAAATTTCCAGCGCCGGCCATACCTGCATGTAATATTCCTGTGATATTTACGTATTTTTCTGTCCTCAATAAATAGTATTTGATTATAATTTATGTTACAATTACTATCAGACATTTAAGAAGCCAATATAAAAGCAGGTAATCAGATCTATTTTATTGATTCATGATAAAATATTTATGCTATGTTTGTGCTCCGAGTTCAAGCATAAATTAATACAGTAGTTACCATACCAAACATTCATTTTAATGTAAAAATTTGTAATGATTTGCAATTTTAAAATGAACTAGACTCTGAAATTTCTTTTGTGATTTTTCTGATTTTGAAACAGGAATTATTCGTTGCCTAAAATAATGTGCCTATCACGGAAAAGAGATATTTCAGCCCAGAGACATTCATTTTACGTTTGGTTGTTACCTAAAGCTGTTTTATTTGGTTGCTTTAATGCAAGAGTGTGCAAATCCTAGGATAACGTTTTTTGTTACAAACGCTTTTTGTCCTAGGATAACGTTCTGAATAAAGCAATTTTGAAACCGCTAATCAAATATTCTTTCAGTGAATAAATACCTATATATTATACTGTCAGTAAAAAAAGAGTAGTCGAGGAAAAGTGGCATAAATCATACAGTTTCGAAAGTTTTCTCAGGGCCAATTTTTTACATATTACGGACTTAAGAAGATTTTTATTAGATTTAGGAATGACTTATTAGTTATAACTTTCTTTAATACAGAAGTATAAAAACTTCAAGCCAAAAAACAGATCAAACACATTTTGGACGCCCTTGTGCAGAATGGAACATAGCATCAGCAAGACATTACTGCAAGTGTGAAAAAATGTAGAAGTCCGAAAGAGCGATGTCGGGGCTATATGGTGGGCGTGACAAAAGATCCCAATTGATTCCCTACAGTACCCAGCCGGTGAATGCAGACACATGTGTTCTTGCATTATCTTGACAAAACATTACCTTTTTTTTTTTTTTTTTTGCTCCGGAACTCAGCTCGATGTTTTTCCTTAACAGCATCGTGAACACGGACTAGCATTTTTCTGTACACCTTATTGTCAAGAGTTTTACCTTTTTTCGATACGGTCCGTAATACCCACGGCATTTGTCGATAATACCACGGCAATCCTACCAGATACAAAGCATGATCTTTTTGTTAGTCAAATTGCGCTTTACAATGTTGACGGGCTCACTGGGCTCAGACGAACTCCCTTTTCGGCTTGTATTGTTGAAGTAAATCCATATTTCATAACAAGTGACAATCCGGGCCAGAAATTTGTACTTGCGTTGATATTCGAGCAGATTAGTGCAGGCCCGAACACGTCTGTCTTTATCTGCTTGAGTCAGCTCATGCAGCACCCAGCGATTGAACTTGTACCTCAAGTGTGTGCGATGCATAGCGTGACTAATGGACATGGCACTAACGTCTAACTCCTTAGCAAGCTCTCGAGTAGTTGCATACTGATCTTCTTCCGCAAATTCTCGCAGACAAGCCTCATCAACATTATAGGCAGATCAGAGCGGGATGCTTCTTGAATGCATAGTCCTAGTTTTTGAACTTTTGATACTAAACCTTCACAGTGTCATACGATACAACATTAATACATAAATATGTCCTCATGACTTGGTGATGTTCTGTAGCTGACCTTTTGAACAGAACTAGAAGTAAATTATAATTCTAATCCTAGTAGCGTGATAGCTCCATTTCAGACACTTGTACTTAATGATGAGGACATTTTTTACAAATTTCACAGCACAGTGTTCTAAAGCAAGTGTCTTTCTTTCAAATGCCAAAAATCGTTTGACAAAATATGATTAAATACGCCAACGCGAACTGTTTGCGCAGATGAAGATGGCGGAAAACTTTCGTTACAACCGATAGATTCAAAAAAACTATTACTAATTGCTTAAAAGATATTTCACCTTGCAACTCCCTAGAACACTAATTGTATCTATAAATAAGAGTCATGAAACTTTAAATTCTGGTCATGTCTGTTGTTGTGACTTGTCACTTGTCTGACAGTAACATCAGAACAACCCCACGAAGTTCATCGTCCGTGAGTCTCCCACCCCTTTTCCCTTACCACAACCTCTCAAACCGTCTTTCGGCTCGCAGCACATTTAGAGAGCCCCCAAGCAGCTCTCAGACACTATTCATTTGCAAACATTCATGCCTTCTCAGGCATTCGAATCCGGGCTGTTCGGTATGGCAGTCAGTATTGCTAACCACTATCCCGGCTGAGTGGCGTAGCTAGCTCTACATCTTTATTTAGTATTAACTACTCAGCCAGCCTTTATTCCTTCTTGGAGAATTCATCAGTTTCCATTCTAACCAAAACTACTCGGATTTAATATCTCCAGCGCATTTAAAATCACAGTTAAAATTCATTTACATGGGACTCGGGTTTACCCAAGCTAAAATAAAGAGCTGAGTTTGACAGCAGATTTTGCAAGCGTTTACGTTATATCTTTAGAAATGTTCAAGAGTGAACAACTTCACGGTCTGAAGAAATATTTGCTTACTCACCTACAGCACCTAAATTTATATAAAGCTTAAAACATTCATTGACTGGTTCTAAGTAATTCAGCAATTAATATCATACGTAGCACATCTTCAATACGATGGGCTCAAAGAAAAGGCTGAATAAATCATAGTTGGAAGAAAACAGCCAAGATGATTCTCAATACTAAGATGATTTCGAGATTTTGAATTTCATTTAATTAAATTAGCTATTTTATTCATTATTTTTTGAATTTTATTTATTTTTTTATTGGTAACTAAACTGCACACTCCTAAATTTGATGAGTGTTTTGAAAGTAAAATTTCGGTAGAGGAAAAATTTTAAAAAGTACTAATTTTATGAAAATCCAAATAAAAATTATAAGCAATTCGAAAGATTTCTAGTGGATTTCAAGTTGTGGACTGCATATTCCCTTATGAAATAAACACTGAACAATTTTAAATAAATTCCAATTTTAAAATAATGTAAATAACATTATTTTAATAAAATATAGCTTTAGAAAACTTTTCGTCAGCAATGGAAGTTGTTCAGTCTATTTAGGCATTTAGAGTAGTGTTTATGATTATGCGAAGTGTAAAGAGAGGCAGTATTTAATGCCTTGAAAGTCTGAGCGAATATTTGAGATGGGAATCCTGCGAAACGGTTTGGCGATTTTTTTCCACTTCCTGCCTCACATTTTTTAAATTACTTACGCGTTTTTTTGCAATTAGCTTTTTTTTCCCCATAAATGAATGGCAATTTTCTGTCTGCTTTGGAATATTTTAATATCTCATTGAATGAAAATTAGAGTTCTGTTTTGTTTTTCGTGTTAAATACTTCTTGATTATCTACTTAGTAATTAAAATAATTGACAACAGAATGTGATTTCGACGATAATTTAAGTTCTCTTTATTTCAAGGCTTGGGATAAATATACAAAGTACATAATTACAATGCAAAGTAGAATATGTACTTTCAAGATTTACATTTAAATTAAAACAATTGTAAGAATTCATTGATCAATTCATTTTACAAAGTCGTGAACTATATAATTTAGCACAGCCTATAGAATTCATCTTTTATAATACATACAGAAATATGCCTCCCTATGTGTTTTCAGCACACGGAGAGAAATAAGTTTCATACTCTCATGCATACATCACAGTTTACTGTAAACATACACTAGATTTATAAGATGGGCTGTATCTCACATTCAAAGTAATTTGCAAAAGAAAACAAAATAAAAAGTAATAGGTTTTATATGTAGCACCAGACGATGAAAATTTCTGGAGTTAAAAAAAAATTAAGAAAATGAAAATTATTTACTTGGAATGTGAAAAATTGGTATTTACAAAATAGTAAAAAAAAAAAAAAAAAAAAAAAAAAAATGAAATATGTCTACATCACAATTTTTGCCCTTTTCGCATTCAGTTATAGAATTTTATACAAATATATATTAAAAACAGTTATTGTTTCTTATTCTGTAATGAAGATTAAAACAGTAAAGATGAATGTTTCTGAAAATTACCTATTACCCTATTTTAACATTGGAATTTAGAGTAAACTTTTGTACGTTGAGCAAAACTGTTTACATAGGTTTATTTTAGGGTAATCATCAGCTCTCCCAAGGAAAATTAATGAAAATAAGATTTTCGGATGAAAAAAAAGTATTATGACTAAAAATATTTTCAATAATTTTTCCAGATAAATAAAGTAATAAAATAAAGTCCAAGTTTCGATTCTCATACTTTTTTAAATTATGAACGAATCTATTTATTAAATGGATATTAACTCTAAAGTAATATTTTGTATGTGGCTCATTAATTAATATTTATGCATCGAATTGTAAAGAAAACTATAAGTTCAGGCTCGATGCAAATTAGTAATTATAGTAATTCAATTATTATTGAGATCCCAAAAAAGGTGAAACGTAAAAGCGCTATTACAACTTAACATTTAAATTTTTAAAATTAGAAAAATATATTATCAAAGTGGAATTGTCAGGATTAATACTTTGATTATTTTATAAAATATTTTAAATACTACTTACATTGCAACATTCAGAAGTTATGTAATAAATTAATTTACATAAATGTTTTAATTAACGTACAAATATTTCTGATTATAAATATACCATTCGAGAAGATCTGTTCCAAATGTGGTGGTGAGAATTTTAATTTGTTCGAAAGGGAAAATAACAAAAACTTTTCATAAAGGTAATAAACTTTATTTTTAGAAGCAAACCGCATACGAAAACAAATGTACTATTAATATTATACATATGACATACAATTCTGTTATTTTGTACATGGGACTAGAATTTTACATGCTGATATTTCTCTAAAATAAGATTGAACAATATACATATATATATATAAATAAATCAGGGCTTAAGTCCTTCGATGCACGATGCATCATTGCGATTTGTAAGCATAAAATAATTTTTCTTATTTCATAAAGCACTTTTTATTTTTCTTTTATGAAACAATTTCTTTTAATTATAGAAATTTTTGGAATTTGATTGTATGGCATATACTTACAAATGCATATATTTAACTGTATTTTTTATAATGCACAAGATATAATTTTTTGGTCTCTAACTATTGTAAAAATAATACGTCATGTGAAAAATGCGTCTCTTTTCTAATACGTCAAAAATTTTACATAATTATCAAGAGGCCTATTTTCTCTGTCTAAGATGCAGTCTTTAAGCCCTGAATGTTAATAACTATATACACATTTCAATCAAAACCATCAATCAAGAGTGAGTGAATAGTCACTCATAGTCAGCTGAAGTATGCAGAGTAGTTTAAAAATGACATCGCCAATGACGCTTGCTTATTTTTTTTTTTTTTTTAATTAATTGGTGAAATAATGCAACTTTTGAAATTTATATGAAGAATAACCTTATTACACTATAATGCACTACAGAGATTTTAGAATTCAAATCTTTTATAAAATTGTTAAAAACGCGCTAAAATGTATCTATTTTATTTCATTTATAATCACGGAGTTAAATACGAGTCATTCAAAATAAAAGACTTTGAATAGCAGTTATATTTATTGACGCAGAAACAAAATCCTTAATATCGCATTGGGCACATTAGAGAAATATTACTGACTGTTTTAAAGAGTGTGGCACTGCTGTCGGAGGTGAAAGGAATAAATAAAAGCATTTTATTTGGCAAACAAAATTTAGGAGGAGGGTACTTAAAACTGATGAGATTAAGAAGAGGAAATGAAAGTTACACAAGGTCTCGTGTCTAAAGTAAACAATCTGTGAGAATTCAAGGTAGAATAAAACTAAACATTTAAAGACCAAGACTAAAATGTTTGAAATTAGAAGTTGAAAGGAAGAGCACGCTGACTTTCTTGTTGCATAACAGCCTCCAGCACTTATCACTAAACTATTCTTTTGAGGCTATAAATCTCCTTTACTAAGAATAGTAGGATTTTTTTTCCTGTGGAGTAAATCATATTTATGGCCAAAATGCTGTTCAAAAATTATGTTCAAAATTCCTTTATTATCCAGCAATAAATTTTCGTTTACTAGATAGGTTAGATATGTAAAATGGCCTATAGTTAAAATTCAAAGGAATTTAAAATTTTCTAGAAATTTTATAATGATTTAAAATTTAGAATTTTTTTTTATGTTTACCCACATTGAAAAACTATATGCATACTCGGTATCTCACCTCAAGTCGGATGATCATCTCAAGAGAGATGTTCAGTTCTAATTCTGTAGATCAAATAATGAGGAAGGATTCTAAAGGTTCCATTTCATGTGAAAAAGGAATCTAAATGTTCCAGTTCATGTGAGAAAAGAATCTAAAGGTTGGTTATTAAGTAAAATAAGCGACATTATGACTAACACGAATAACTTCAAATATCTTGATATTATGAACGGTTTCTACAAATTTTCATCTGAATGTACTTTATGAAGCATATAATAAGCAATAGGTTACAAATCAAATAATGAACTTAATAAAAAAAACTGACAAAGTTATAATTGCAAATAAAATGTAAATTTCTTTTATAACAATTTTCTATAGGATACAGTAAGTGAACATTTTAACACCAACAACTATCTCAGTTAATTGTCTTGTTTAACGAAATAAAGTTTGTTAGGTTACCGTTTACAAATATCATTTTGTAATAGTTTGCTTAAGTATAATATATTATGCCTTAATTTCACAACAGTTCTAAGTCTATAAAAATACAATGCGGTCGCAAAGCAATAAAAACCAAAACATTAATAAGCATTAGGATGTTACATCGTTTTAAACTTTATCTACTATCTGTAAATCTAGGTACTATTTACACACATTTTGTACAGCTGCATAGGTTAAAAGTTTGTTATCTTCATAAAAATAAATTTTCTACTATAAGCTTTGAAAACTATGCGCAAGCGAGAGCAAAATGCCAAATATTTATTTCATAAAGTACTAGTTTTTAATATCGCAAATTTGTTACTTTCAATAAAGACTACACCATATTATTGAGGAAAATGAGGTATAAGGTATAATTCTGGTCAAGTGTATCTTTGAATTTCGGGAAGGTATACGATATAGAATATGCAAAGATAAGTGAATGTATCTACAAAGTACTGATATTTTAAGTCTTCGACCAATGAAAAGCTGACGGCAGTGAGATTCTGAACTTTCTTTTAGAATGAAAATTTTATCATTCTCCACTTTTTGTGACAAAAAGTAATGCACTTCTTTGAGATTAAAAAGTTATATCTCTTATTCTTTCAAATAAACATTTTAAAATGCAAACTTTAGCTCTTTATTTAAGGCTTTAAACACGAATTTCACAAACTTCTCTTCAGCAAACTGAATCTTTTAATTTGTAATGCAAATTTCAAATCTTTGATATAGCGACTAATTTTTGTGTTACTTTAAATCATTAAAATGTGATGGGACTGATCTGAAATTGATATGCCTTCCAAGAATGTTTAATATAAAAAATGTAATATCTGATCTCTAAAGGAAAAATTAAATTGATATGATAAAAGTATTTATACAATGTACTTTCATTAATTCGAAATTTCAGGCAGTTTAAACAAAAAAATAGCACCTCAAAAAGCAATAAGTGTGTATGCGTTATGAAATTACAGAGTTTTATAATACGAAACAAGATAGCGTCATCACTGTAATTAAATTTATTAATTTTGACAGTATTTGAGTAAGTATTTTTGATGTTCGAAATCTACAATACTAATTAAATTTAAAAACATCCATAAAAACTTCGAGAGAGGGAAAACCATAGAAAATGAATCATATTCCATAAGAAAATTTTCCTATAGAACATCTTAAATCAAAATTTTAAAACTGGTATTTACTTATTTGGCATTAAATTAAAAATAATTCACTTTGAACAATATAAATACTGGCCAATTTTTTAAATTTAATTTACGTGATTAGTTAAATGTAATAACTATATTTAATTAATTTACATGATTAATCAAGTGTTTAAATACATAGTTAATTATATTTCTTATGCCAATTTATATTTACTTTATCAGCTATTAGGTTATATCTCACTGTTTTTTCTTCGAGCGTGATTAAGAATTGTTCGCCAACGAATTATCATTAGCTTCTGCAAGCCCCTAGTAAGTCGTATTTTTAGCCTTTTGTCTAATATGTTTTAATAACTATAATCACTGATATCACTTTTTAGGTTGTATTAATGTATATTGTAATGTATTACCTTTTTAGGTTGTATTGTAATGTATTACAATTTCTGTTTATATTTTACTATTTTTCGGATACACTGTAAAAACTATGCTGCCAAAAATAGACTATTGTATTGTTAATATCCAAACATCCAAACTTTGTGCTTTGTCGTGAATTGAGCAATTTTTCAAAATAATTTTGTGTGTCAAAAATATTCGTTATGTGCAATGAGGATATAATAGGAACTTTTAAGAAACTCTTGTTTCTACTGACATCCATTAAAAGACTCTCGAGCAAAAATCTCTCTGCAAAAATTCATATTTCAATCAACTAAATATTTAATTTTAAATAAGAATAAAAAATATGAAGCTGTGGAAGTTCTGTTACGTTTTTTTACTTCATACAGTTGGATATATCTTAATCGAAATACCACATTAAAAGTCCTGAATTTCTGAAATTCTTTCTAATCCTTTCAAAGTCATGAGTGTAATATAAGACAGCTTCGAGGAAATTACTAAGAAAATGACCAAGCAAATGAAGTGGCTGTCCGTTATTCAGCACATTTATATTAGGTACTTTGCTTATTTTTTGTTTTTATCGTGCCAATATGTAGTTCTTTATCAGACGCGAATAAGCATCATTTGAAAAAGATCTTGGAGGTACTTCTTGGCCTGTCATGTAGTTAAAATACAGGAAGAAAAAAAGAAATCATTTTATTTAATCTGTGTTCATAAACAACTGAAGTAAGATCAGTAAAATTTTATGTATTCTAGAAAATAATGAAAGTGACTAATCCACAAATGCCAAAACGTGTTGCCGTTAAATTGATGCATTGAATACTTATTAATACCACATAAACGACAATGCATCCTTATTTCAAAATTTTCACCATTAAGTAGATTATTTTTTATCACTTTTCGATTTCACATGTACGTGTATATCACGTAAAATATACCCAGAGTCTCAGGTAGCATTCCAAATGCTGCTTTCAAACTACTACCAAACTTTCAAATCTCTTCTCTAGGCTTCAAAACACGACAAAGTGTCATTAACATTGTTAAAATGAAATCTTTAATCTGGAAGCTAAAAGCAGTAAGGAAAAGATAATTAAGGAAGTAATATCAGCTCATTATATTAGACTGGTACCGCTTCCAAAGTTATTTGATTACTGTCGTTAGGTTGAAGCAACAACGCACATCATTGTAGTTAATTTTAAAATGTAATTGTATCACTTTGAGGGCACCTCGAGTGTCCGAATGCTTAAGACCAACTAAATCCTGGGAGTTCGACTCGAAATTCGATCCCAGGTAAACGAGCTGACTGCTTTCCCCGTGTGTAACATGAATACGAGCCAGTTACCCCTCAAAAAGCCCTCTATAAAGGCATCCTTAGCATTTGCGTTAGTTCTCATATTTGAATAAATTGACCTCGCATTAATTTGGGGTCAAATAATTTTAATTCCCCTTTCACCGTTCTACATTTTCTATGCTTATTAAACGTTAAAGCAATGCTCATTTGGGTTATTTTCACGTCAGTTCTTTTCATAGTTTTAAGACATTTTCATGCTTGCATTCCTTCAAAGCCCTTTGAATTCTTCTTCGATGAATTTTTAATATATTATTATTAAAAATAAAAATTAAATTTATGTATTTTATTTATTTATTGTTTTAAGTATTTCGAATAAATATATCCAACTATAAAATCTTATATTCTTATAAAATAAACATATCTAACTTCGGTAGCAATATGGAAATGATACATTCCGTAAGTCAGCTTTAAGGTATATTAAAAGATGTAAGCAAATCAACGAGAAAAAGCTAACTAAAAAGGCTTGAATAAAGCTAACTACAGGAAAGTATAGATTTAAGTTATTCGCTCACAACCTTTAGACAGAATATATTTTCAAAGACTTTCCAAGCTCGCTTTTCTTTCCCACGGGTCTCTGCTTTCTACGGCCGAAGAACAGAGGTTACCCTGAGAAAGAGTAGAGCAAAATGAGCCAAAATGATACAGAATTTATTATGTTTGAATTATATGAAACAATTTCAGTAACTACTTTTAATAATTTTTTATATTACGGAATTAATTTACACACGTTAATTTCTTGAACATAGAAAATTTCCGAAACTTTTTTAAGCTATGGAGTGAAGCAAAATTGAAGATTAATAGTTCAAACAAAATTAATCATTAAAAATTGAAAGAATTTTTTTGAATGAATAGAAAACGCACTTGTAATTTATAAAATATAACCAGTAATTTAATAAGTTTTATCGTTGCTGCTTAACAGCTTTGGTCTTTAAGCTTGAATGTTAAGCTACAAAATATTAAGTGATTAAATATTATGTCATCAATCAATACGTTACTTCATAAAAATAAATCCTCATTACCTGGAAATACTCTAAATATTGGTTAAATCTTCAAAATTATTGCAATTAGAAGATAACAAGAGCAGTATGCAGATCCATTTATTGCGCTGAAATCAGACTTCGGTATTTCAGATAAGTGAAATTTATTTTCTGATGTAGACATCTTAATTTTAAAGCTGAGTGTTTTAAATTTGACCAGATATTCTTAATAAGTTCTGAGCAAATTAAATACATAATGGGTTTTGTTTTCCTCTAAGCAGTCAGACTCGCTAATTTAATGCACAGCCTAATGTGTAGCAACTGCTTAAAACAACAAAGCAAATGCAATTTTAAATTTTACTAAAGATTTATATGTTTTTACTTCACCTGAATTATAAAAAGAACTTGAAAATAGTTACTCCTAATAATTTAACGACAAAAAGTACGAAATAATAACACTCCAGATGTTTTTTACTGACGAAGTACACTGTAATAATTGAATTAAAATTACTACTCTATAGCTTTCAAAATCAAGAGTCTTCAGCAAATCCTTAAGACACACAATATGTTATAAATTCAGTTATTTTCGTACTATAATTATCGTAAATAAAATATTTAGTCGAGAGTAGATGAAAATCCGAGATAAATCTAGAACAGCTATGAAGGAAATTTTAAACGCTTCAATAACAAAATGTACAGAATAATTTCTACGCTTTTAGCAAAAGTACTTGGATACTTTCAATGAAAACGTTTAGACATGAAATATTTTTAAAATAAAATTTCAAGTAGACAGCTGAATTATTTTACTGGAAATTACTTAATTGCAGCTGTTATATCATATAACATTATATCACAAGAGCATTTTTTATTTAAAATTTGATAAGTGCTGCAGCTTCACGAGACATAAGATCTTCATGTAACTAATTCTTAAGGTATTGCCATTCGATGAAGCTTTTCAAAGCAGAGTTGATCGATTTAAAACCTACAAACGAATATCTTAATAATTTCTACTTTAATGTTTTATTTTAATAATCTGCTTAATTAATATAATTTCTAATACATTTATTTTTTATGATGCATTCAAGCGATAATATCTTACATTTTACAATAAGAATAATCACCAATATTATTATTATTAATAAAAAAAATATATACATTTTATCCGAACCTAAGGTCAATTTTATTTCATTATGCAAATAAATTAAAGATTCAAGTCGATAAAATATGCTTTAAATTCCTAACACTTGCAAATAACTTCATTTTCTGTGTTTTTATGCGTAATTTATAACTTTTTAAAATATTTTTCATTGATTATTGCTTTTGACGAAGCTAATTTGAATAATTACTACAGTATAATCTGACAGTTTTCTATATTTTATAAATAATGCTAAACAATATTTTAAAGAAGCTGTTAAAACTAATTATCTATTGATGAGCTTCAAAATCATAAACTCCAATGCACATTTTCGATCTTTTAAAACTGTAGAGAATTGTAAAATAAATATCAATTCGCCACCCCCCATGCATTTTTATTCCTTTTTTAATTTGATATATTTATCTTTAAGCCATTGCTATTGAATTCAAAGTCATAAAAGGTGATACAATAAAATTAACGTTTCCCACTTATTTTAATCTGAATTCTCTTAAATCACATTTTTAAAAACTGCATTGAAGGATCTTTAATGCTGTAAAATAATGAAAGAGAAATACTCTGCATACTTCAGCTGAATGTTGACAGCAGAAAAGAAATAGTAGAATTCAGAAAGTGTCACCTAGAATTTAGCAGTAAACATAAGAATTTCCTTTGGAAATTTGAATCATAGTTTAACAAGTTTACTTAAATACTTCTATTACAAGCATCTTCTCTGGCAGATTTAAACCACGGAGTAAAATATTAAAAATGTTGCCAAAAGATGGCAGCACCATAGTTTTAAAAGCCATCTTAAAATGTCAAACTTTTCGTGTAGCGAACTACTTAATTCTCAAATCCCAGTTTTTAGCATTTCAAAATAATAATAATAATATTAATTATAATGCTCATATAGATAAGTAATTGAAAAAAATTCTTTATGCGAAAAATGTATTATAACATTAAAATTTTATTTATAATTTAGGTTATGGTAATTTTTGAATATAAATCTTTATGTTACGAACTTTCTTCCACTTTCAGAATTCTTAACATCCACATATTCATAGCAATTTTCTAGATTTTTTTCTTATGTAGCTGTTTGATCCTAGGACACTTTCGGCTTCAACCGATGCATAATAATGGTAGTCGTAAAATATATAACAACTTGTTCGACATGCTAGTTTACATCACTGTAACAAAGTGTTAACGTCACGATTCTGCTATCTTCAATTCTGTGTCCATAGTTTTTTTCTCCGGGGTTTTCTGCACTAAATGCACGGTTATCTGGCTAACGTACCTTTTCTGGTCGTCACCACAGGACGCCGTGCCGGACTCGCTTTTGTGACCGGATCTTGCCGGCTTCTCCCGGATTGCCATTTGATAAGCCACCTCAAAGGCCTGTCCTAGAGTCAGGATTATTTCTGTGGCCATGTCCTGAAAATAAATAAGATTAATTAAATAAATTTTTATTTGTTTATTAATGTTTTTATTTGCTCAATACTGTGTTACTCGGTTCTGTCATGGCACACTGACAGCATAGATAAAGTGACATTCAGATATTAAGGTTGCGGGTGTCAGATTTACATAAATTCATTCAACTTGAGGCAGCACCTTTTTGATTCAAGCAGCTTACTCTACTAGAGCATTGAAATAACTTTGGGTGAAATTGTTTAAGTTTTTCTCGGTATACTACAGAGTATTGCGGCGCTCTGTGCCTAATTTTTCATAGGTAAAGGAACAATGCCGTTATAAAAATAATTACAGCAAAAATAATTCTATAATTCTAACAAAAATAATGAAAACCTTCTCAAAGTGCTTTGAAAGCTGCTTCCCTCACATATATTTATATCTTCAACAACGATTCTAAACAAAATTAAATTATTCTTCGATTTCATTCACATTCTTGTGACTGCTGTTCGTCGATAATTTCAGTTTCGTATATATGCTTTTCAGTTTCTAATTGTTGGCAAGATTGATTTCAATCTCTCTTTGCAGAAAAAAATAAGAAAAGTTTCTCTTCTACCAAAATGATTTCAGTGTGTCATAGCTTAAGTTTCATCTTACCCTCAAGTGTTCATAAATGATAAACTGCGTGCCATAAATGGGTAACAGAAACACCATTTGCTCTTTTTATCTAAGAAGCATTTCATCTTACTCTTATCACTCTTAAGAAGTTCTGTCTATGCTGCTTTTATACGTCTATGCTTTTAGCGCCAAGCTGTCGATGATTTTGGCAACTGATTTTTGTCGCCGAATTTGTCTAGAAATGGCTGAAAATCACAAACGTGATGACCATTTGGCGACATTTGAGTCCGATTCCTATATAACTGTAACTGCTGTGATCCCTATATGTGATTGCAACTGTCCTTGTGTGTAATTGTATATGCCTTCCAGCAATTTTGAAAAATCGAAGCTATTGGAAATTTCTCGGGCACCGGAAAAAAACAATATAAGACTGGTGACAGGATCAGTTCTTTGTTCAGTTCAGTTCGGAATTTAGTTCAGAGTACTGAGAGTAGTAAGAGATCTTTGTGACATTGAGGCGTTTTTTAAATATTGCTTTGTGTTTAACATTCTTAGTAGTTTGAAGTGATTACTTCTGATTGTGCTCTGATATACTGAGAAGATCTGTACGATTTATTTTGTGAAAAGTTCAAGAACAGTAAAGTGTTTCTTTTGAGAAATTAATTTTACCAAGCTATCATCAGTACTGTGCACGCTCAACCCGTTAAGAATCCGTATGCAGGTAACACTATTGTTGCGTGCGTACGGGTTCGTTATGAAATGAATGCACAAGTCCGATGAAAAATGAACAAAAATTTATTATTATCACAACAAAAATGCTTAAATTTTCTCAAATTATCATGCAGTATTACAATATCTCACAGTAGTTATCTTTTAACTACTCAAATGTCCAATAGAACGTAATTCAAAACAGCTAAAGAACGCTAATCCGCGAATTCGCTACAATCAACAAGAGCAGTTTTCTAAACAACAACAAACTAAGCAACTACTACGAACTGAGATGTTTTCTTCCTTTTATAAGATTTTAAAATCACGCGCTAGAATTTTCTGGTACTTTCTCGAAATCAAAAAGAGATATTTATTTATTTAATGCACGCGCTCTTGTATTTTCAGTTTTCCGGCTTGGCTTTCTTTTGATATTCGTCACGCGCTGCACTGCGCGAGAAATAAAACCATTTAATTTATAATTGAACTAATATTAGCTTTTTAAATACCAAATTCGTAACACTGCACCCATCCCAAGGACTGCACGTCCCGGGCAGTACAATCCCTGGACAGGAAGCCAAACTTACAACTGAGGCATAAATGCAACTGAGGCATAAATGCAACTGAGGCATAAATGCAACTGAGGCATAAATGCAACTGAGGCATAAACATTACATTACAATATCAAACAACATGAACAATAAATGTAATAGATAACTTAAACAAATCAAATACTAAATACAAATCAAATCAAATACACATTTAAAAACAAAAAGGACCATGGTCTTATACTATTTACAATTATTTACATTACGTACTATGGCATAGTAATGAACGACTTTAGGTTTAGAGTTCGAAGACTTACGAATCCTGTTGGTTTTTGGAAACCACTAATGAGAGGTTATTAAGGATGGTTCGATTGAACCTCTCTACCATGCCGTCCGACTGGAGATGCAATGCCGTCGTTTGAGTTTTGTCAATGCCGAGTAGTTTGCATAGTTCTTTGATTACTGCCGAGGCAAAATTCCTTCCCTGATCGGAATGTAACTGAAGAGGCACTCCGAACCTGGAGATCTAGTGCTGTATCATTACCTCAGCTACTGTGACAGCCTCTTGATCAGGAATAGGATAAGCTTCAGGCCACTTGGTGAAGTAATCAATGACAACAAGTATGTATTTGTTGCCATCAGCAGTTCGTGGCAGAGGTCCCAGGATGTCAAAGGCGATACGTACAAAAGGCGCCCCTACGTTGTAACGTTGCAGCTTGCCTCGGCTGCGTTTCCTCGGTCCTTTCCGACCTGCACAGGCATCGCAAGATCGGCACCACTTTTGCACGTCATCCTTTGCATTATTCCAGTAAAAGCGCTCACGAACTCTCTGTAAGGTCTTCAGAATTCCAAAGTGACCTCCTGTAGGGCTGTTATGTAGTTCTTTAAGGACATCAGGAATCCGGCATCTTGGAAGTATAAGTTGCCATCGGAACGTCTTCCCATCATCCGATTCGAATTTCCGGTATAAGACGCCGTTTCGAATGTGAAGTGAATCCCAGAGAGCCCAATATTGTTTGGTTGTAGGACTACAGATAGAAATGTCCTGCCAGGTAGGTTTTCTGTTTGATGACTCCGTTAAATCAATTATGGGTTTAATGTCGCGGTCTTCCAGCTGGTCTTTCCTGACTTCATCATCACTCCACGGTTCTCGATCAGCCGATGTTGATGTTGTAATTTGTCTTGCGACCGGAGTCAGCAGCTCGTATTTCGCTTCCACCCTGGAACAATATCGGCAGCTTTCTGGTGCAAGGTCTTCTAGACAGGGCGTCGGCGTTCCCGTGTGATGATCCCTTACGATGACGGATAGTGATGTCATATTCTTGGAGTCTCTGTATCCACCTGGCTATTTGATCCTCAGGATTCCTGAAATTTAAAAGCCAGGCCAATGAGGCATGGTCCGTGCGGAGGAGGCATTTTCTTCCGTATAGATAATGATGGAAATATTCTACAGCTTTGACTATGGCGAGCAACTCTTTCCTAGTAACACAGTAATTCCTCTCCGGTTTAGACAGGCACTTGCTCCAGTAAGCTACTACACGTTCTTGGCCGTCTATTTCTTGGGACAAAACAGTACCGACACTTTCATTGCTCGCGTCCGTGTCGAGAATAAATGGTCTGTCGAGCTGAGGATACGTCAGGATTGGAGCATATGTTAAAGCTTCCTTTAAGTTGTTAAATGCATCCTCGCATTCCTTTGTCCACAAGAATCTTTGCTTGCTCTCTGTCAGCATGTGAAGGGGTCTTGCGATGGAAGAAAAGTACTTCACGAATCTCCTATAGTAGGTGCAAAGCCCTAGGAAGCTTCTCCACTGATGGACATTTTCGGGACGTTTCCAGGATTTAACAGCTGACACCTTTTCAGGATCCGTGCACACACCTTCTACAGGGATGACATATCCCAGGTAAGTCACATCCTTTCGGAACAATTTGCATTTAGCGGGACTCAGCTTCAGATTGGCCTCTTTCAGTTTCTGAAGCACCTTTCTAAGATTTTATAGAAGTTCTTCAAAACTCTTTCCGACGATGATGATATCGTCCAGGTATATCAGACAGGCTTCGTAGGGAAAGACCTTTCAAAACAGTCTCCATAAGGCGTTCGAATGTTGCCGGCGCGTCCAAACGGTATCACCTTGAATTGCCAAAGCCCTTGACCCGTAGTAAATGCCGTCTTTTCTCGGTCTTCAGGGTGTATTTCTACCTGCCAATAACCACTCTTTAAATCAAGTGTTGAGAACCACTTGCTTCCAGAAAGAGTGTCTAGAATGTCGTCAATTCTAGGAAGAGGGTAACTGTCTTTCTTCGTAACCTCATTCAACCGGCGATAGTCAACGCAAAATCTTGTGAGTCGTCTTTCTTTCTGACAAAAACGATGGGAGATGCCCATGGACTTGCTGAAGGCTCGATTACATAGCCTTCTTCCATATCCTTTAAAAGTGTTCGTACCTCTTCCTGTTTAGCAATCGGTAGACGTCTTGGATGTTGCTTGATCGGAGGATGCTCGCCAGTATCAATTCTATGTTGTGTCAAACTGGTTCGACCCACGTCAGAAGACGAGCGGGAGAAAACAACTTGAAGATCTTTAATGACGCGATCGGCAGCATTCTTCTCTTTATCGTTTAATTGCGCATTCTGAAGTAACTCTGATGTAATGCTTCCTGAAGACACGGATTCTTGGATGTTACTCTTTCTTTCAACGGTGGTTACTGGAGTACATGCTGCAACCACTTCACCTTTCTTAATAATTCTCACCTTCTCAGTTACGTTGGCGACTCTCACCGGGGATAACCGTTCTGGATAGATCGACAAGTGTTGAGGCTACTAGTACTCCTTTTGGGCTATTACAGTTATTTGGATATTTTATGATGCCGTAGCGGAAATTTCTGTTTTCGGCTATGGATCCAGGAAGTAAAATTTCTGTTCTTGCCGGTATTGTGATATTGTCTTGTGCTATGATTTTATGGACAGATTTAACTTCATCATTAACTCCAAATAACGCTATGCCCTCAGATGTAGAATGCAATTCGTTATTTAAAGTCCAAGTCGATCTTCTCACCGGACACAGTCTCGAGGGTAACGCAGGGCGGCGTCCAGATAAGTTTGTTTCCCAGTTTTTGAGCCAAATCTTTTCGGATGATGATAAGGTTGGCTCCTGTA